CAGTGGCTCTCTCTACTACAGAAGCGGAGTATATGGTGATGACTGAGGCTGTTAAGGAGGCTTTGTGGCTGCAGGGATTATTGGATGACTTAGGGATCGCACAGGAGACCATTCGGGTATTTTGTGATAGCATGCCGACTGTCTATTTAGCAAAGAACCAGGTTTATCATGCGCACACGAAGCACATCGATGTCAGATTCCATTTTGTTCGTGATGTTTTGGATGATGAAGACGTTATATTAGAGAACGTCCACACGAACGACAACCCTGCAGATATGATGACCAAAGTTGTTTCAGGTATGAAATTTGGTCATTGTTTGAAGCTTTTGAACATTCTTCAGTGCTGAGGCATTTGGAGGCCATTTGGGTGAACTACGTTCGGCTTAATTCCTTGTGCAAAAGGATACGTATGTAGTCTTTCGATGCAACCGGTTTGATTCAAATGGGGGGAGATCATTTCAGCTCACGTTTGGTTTCCCGACTTGTTGTGGATTGAGCAGACCATTGTCTGCAATAAGTGGGACATTTGGATGATTTGGTGTCGGCTCAGATTTGGTAGAAACATTCACCGATGTGGAGAATTGAAGAAGTGGCGAGAGAAGTTCAGGAAATCAGCAGAAATTAGCCAGACAGACTGGTGGTCAATCGCGAGTCAGCGACGGTCGACTGCGAATATGCACAGGAGAGCAGGAGGCTCTGGAGCTGAAGGCGGTGGACCGTGGCAGTCGACCGCGCGGACCCTGTAGGCGATTTAACTCTCGGGAATTGATTCGGTCGACCGCCATGGTCGACTGTGGATTTCATGTAATCGATTTATTCTCTGTCGGGGGTGTTCGGTCGACCGCGATACCTGCACGGTCGACCGCGTAGCGGGTTTGCAGTTGAGTTAGTTATTTGACCCGGTTCGTTTTGGAGCTGATATATAACTCTAATCCTGATTAGTTAGGGTTAAGCAATGACGTTTTTTAGCAGTCTTTGGGAGAGGATTGCTACATCCAATTATGGGAGATTTGTGAGAGATCTAGAGCTTTGTTTTAGGGTTTGATCGGTGAAATTTGCAACTCTATTTGTATTCTCTTGATTTCTAATAGTAAGACCTCCTTGCCCCGTGGACGTATGCAACTTGCCGAACCACGTTAAACTCGTTGTTTTGCTGTGGTATTATGTTTGGCTTATTAGTTGTGATTTATCTCTTGTTCTTGTTCATGTCGCTTTGAGGCTTCCGCGACGCACAACAACAGGTATGGAACAAGAATGAAGCAAAACGAAGTGAAAATCAGCTCAAAAGCTGATTTCAGAGTGTGAACCATCGATGGTGCACATTGACCATCGATGGTGACCAAGAGACTATCGAAGGTTCCCTTAGGTCATTTATGGTGCAAATGTCAAGAGACGTTCAGATCATTGATGGTTTCACTTGACTACAGATGATCGAATCAACACCATCGATAGTCAAGATCCACCATCGATGGTAAAGACGGCTGATTCAAAATTTTAGCTTTTAATATTTACTCATTGCACATCAAACCCCTATCATCTCATGTGTTTTTCTACCATAAAAAGAGAAGAAAAAGATAGAGAAAGAGATAGTAGATCTAGGTTTAAGTTCGGTGGTCAAGAAGAGCTTTTCCACACTCGAGGTCTCCTCAAACATTCATCCATTGCGCTCAACATCATCCGATCAGTTCATAGCGATAGAGTTGCCCTTAGAGTTCATCTTTATTTCCGCTCTTTATTAAGATTTGCTTAGATTTTGCAAAGAACAGTTTGCTAGTCGAAAGGGCTGTAATATTGTTTTTGTATTGAATTAATTGTTAATTATTTTTGTCTTTCATTGAACTTCTTTTACTACGCACTCAAGTCGGTTGAATTGAGGGTTGAGATTAGCTAGGTCTAGAAGTTACTCATTGTGAGAGTTAGGTTAGACAACTGGTTTTGGATTAAAACTAGGGCACAGTCTCGCAAGCCTACTAAATCAGGCCCGTGATTCAGGAGAACCTCTTCGTGAGAAAGAAAAGTGGATGTAGGATTGTTTATTCAAACCACAATAAAATCTCGTGTGTCACTTGTTTGATTGTTTTTGTGTTGGTGTTATTACTAATTATCGTGTCTCGCTATATTTTGTTTTTATTCTACTGCATATTCTATGTTCATGTGAAATAGAATAGGCAATCTTATTCAAACACTCACTCTAGGCTTGTCTCTGATTCAACGCACCTAAACAGAATCAAAGTTCCAGTTATATGTTTTTATGATATAACTCCAATATGAAATTAGCCTCCCGAACCATTAAGTTGTTTAAATAGCACCCTATATTTAAAACTAAGCCCAAGATCCATGAGAATAAAATCTAATGGACCCTTATTCATGCACTGATTTTCTTAGTAGTCCGACGCTTTCTTTTTTTTACCCAAATAAGTCCTCAGGTTTTCATTATATTTTCTTTCTCGGCCCAATGCCAGATCCCCATGAAGCCTAAACTTGGAAGGGGTATTTTTATCATATTTTAATGCTTTTTAGAGGAAAAAAGTCATGTACTTTGCCATTTCATTTTGTTGGAAATGGTCATTGCATAACACGGGGACCAATTAGATTTCCTTCTCCAAAACTATTAGGTTGTTCTAAATAAAGAAATGTTAGAGGCACACCATGAGGCACACCTCCGGTCACACTCCCCCACCTGCTACAGTGCATGGGGCCCCACAGGAGATTTTTAAAAAAATCTCCTGTGGGGCCCCCTGCACTGTAGCAGGTGGGGGAGTGTGACCGGAGGTGTGCCTCATGGTGTGCCTCTAACACCGCTCTTTACGTAACTCAGTTCTCGTAAGTTTACTCCAGACTAGCCCCTAGCTCTACTTGCTACCTGGATTTTTAATTATATACATATTGTATATATATATTTTATATTTTTATATATAATTATAGTATAATTTATGGTCATTAATGTATAGTTATATATATTTTTAAGTGTACATTATCATCAATATATACTTAAATATACTTATATATATTTCTAATGCATACCGTGTATAATTATAGTATGATTTGGTCATTAATGTATATTTATATATACTTACATATAATATATAACTATATACTAATATGCAAGTATATACTAATACATACTCATATAAATATAATAAGATTAATCTAATTTTTAATCAAATTTTAGCAAAAAAATAAAAAATACAAAAAATAAAAAAAAATCCGGGCCGGGCCCGGCCAGCCTGTTTGGACAGTACTAGCTATTTGATTCTTCTTTTTCAGAACCCTTGAAAGTCACTGTAGCTTGAAAAATCAGTGTCCATATAGATCTGATAACAACAGTTCGAATCTAGAGAAAACGGTTCAATAGAGAGGGAATTGTATAGAGAGAGTAGCAACTGAGATTTTTTTAGTACCACGTCAGCCTCGTATTTAACCGAACAAACAAGATAATGCTGGGAAGTTGCTGTGACATGACGGGCTACTACATCTTTCAAAGCATAAATGAGGCCAACCAAACAGGCCTTGAACAAAGATATCAGGTCTATTATGACAAAGATCACTCTGGAGTAATTCAGCTCAATAAGCTAATCGACAGACAGAAGACCAATTAAACCACTCTGTCAAATAATAATTACAACCATAAGGGCAAAATGGATTTCTTTTAAAAAAACTTTATATAAGTTCGTTTGCATTTTCTAAAATAATGCTGAATGTTTGGGTTTTCTAAAAATAATATTGAAAGTTTCGAGGGTTTTCTGACAATGATGTTAAAAGTTGGGCGATTTACATTAAACAAAAAGGATTTTCACATCTGTTTTTTGATATCAAAACATTTAGTAGTTTCTATGTGGTTTTTTTGTGTTTTTACAGTTAGTTTTGACTTACTCTCTAACTTGTGGTTAGAGCTTGGGATAGCTGTATTTCTGGTATGTAGTTAATTTTGAACAATGATACATATCCTAGGTTGGGGATATGTACATATTATGTAACAACCTTTTTTTGTTATTTAGCTGGCTGGGATATCTTTATGGTATCCCATCCTTTCTCTCAAAAAAAAAAAGAAGAAAAGATTTTCATGAATACCACCTTTATATTAGTCGAAATTGATACGAATTACCTTCAATGGGAGGAGGACCATGGCAGAGGTAGGATGGATGAGTAAGGAGAGGGAAGAGGGCTGGAGATGGGTGGTGGCAGTTAGGGTGGGAGATGAGGGAGGGAGAACAGAGAAAGTAAATAGACTTGTAAGATGGTTTTTTAATTAAAAAAAAGGTTTTAACGGTGGTTCCTATCAATTTGCACTACTTTAAAAAGGTGATTTTTATGAAAGAAAACTTCGAAAAATTGATTTAGGAAGGTATTGTTAAAAAATGGGAAACATTCAGGGGATTTTCTAATAAGCCCTAAGAGTTAGGGGTTAAATGATACATATAGAGTTTTAAGGGGATTATCTCACAATGAGCCAAACTTTTAGGGTGTTTCTATCAAATTTACTATTAACTTTTTGTGAAGGAATGCTAATTATTCCTTTGTATCTCTTCAGCAGTCAAAGAAAGGCTAATTATCATTAAATAACCTCATAACTTTGGACAATTAGTAAAAGACCCCCTTTAACTTTCAAAATATCAGAAAAAAACCCTAAATTTTAAGGATTATCAGAAAACCCCTTTAGCTTTGGGATTTTGTTAGAAAACCCCCTAAATCTAGGGGGTTTTCTAAATTTAGGGGGTTTTCTAATAAAATCCCAACGTTAAAGAGGGTTTTCTGACAAAATTTAAAAATTAAAGGAAGGCTTTGGGATAATCCCTATATTTAAGGGAGGGTTTTCTGAAATTTTAAAAGTTAAGGTGGGTTTTCTAATGTGTACCCCAGTCAAATAAACTTTAAGACGTTCTGTAATTATTGACTTGTTATGACGCGAAAATTACAATGTAAAATTTCTACTACCGGAGTATCTCTTGCTCCATCAAAATAAATTTTCTATTCCCCCCCCCCCCCCACCCTAAATAATTAACAAAATATTCATCTACGCAAAAGAGTAAAAAAGCAAAACGCCTGGTTGCCCCTTTATACCGTTGATCTTCCCATTCTGCCCCCTCATTCTTTTTCGCGCCATGTCCTCTCTTTCAAACCACTACTCCTCCCTCCTAAAACTCTGCTCTAACCCCAATAACCAAACCCAACTCAAAAAACTCCATTGCCTCATCCTCAAATCCTTCTATTTACTCCAAGACACTTTTCTATTGAACAATCTCATTTCTTCCTACTCTAATTCCAATCTCCTCAAATATGCCCGCAACGTGTTCGATCAAATTCCCCATCCAAACCTCTTCTCTTACAATGCCATCCTCTCCGCCTACTCCAAGTCTGGCGGTCTCTCTCAGATGAAGCGAATCTTTGATTTGATGCCATCAAAGGACGGCATCTCTTGGAACGCTGTTATCTCGGGCTATGCCGCCTACAACTCTCCGCATAATGCGGTCCAAACCTACCGCCTTATGTTGAGGAATGGAAACGTGGGTCCCAACCGTATCACTTTCTCGACCATGTTGATCCTCTCGTCTGCTCGGTGCTCTCCTGCCTTTGGCCGCCAGGTCCACTGCCAGATTATCAAGTACGGGTTTCAGTCACACATGTTCGTGGGTAGCCCTTTGGTGGATATGTACTCGAAAGCGTCGCTCATTGACGATGCAAAGAAGGTTTTCGATGGGATAGAAGAGAAGAATGTTGTTGTTCACAATACTATGTTGACGGGTTTTCTGAGATGCGGCATGGTTGAGGACTCGAGGAGGTTGTTTGAAGAAATGAGGGAACGGGATTCGATTTCTTGGACCACGATGGTTACTGGTCTTACCCAGAATGGGCTAGAAGCGCAAGCACTGGGATTTTTTAAAGAGATGAGAGAGGCTGGAGTTAGTATCGATCAGTACACTTTTGGGAGCGTGTTAACTGCTTGTGGTGGGATTTCGGCATTGAAAGAGGGAAAACAGATACATGCATATATAATTAGGACATGTTATGAAGGAAATATTTTTGTGGGAAGTGCTCTCGTTGATATGTACTCAAAATGTAGGAGTATAAAATCTGCAGAATTTGTGTTTAGGAAAATGTCGTTCAAGAATATTGTGTCATGGACGGCGATGATCGTTGGTTATGGGCAGAATGGATTCAGTGAAGAAGCAATGAGAGCTTTTATCGAGATGGAGAGGGATGGAACTGAGCCAGATGATTATACTCTCGGGAGTGTGATCAGTTCTTGTGCAAATATAGCAAGTCTCGAAGAGGGGGCACAGTTTCACTGCAGGGCAATAGTTTCAGGCCTGCTTTCATATCTTACAGTGTCAAATGCAATTGTAACCTTATATGGTAAGTGTGGATGCATCGAGGAATCTCATCAGTTGTTTGATGAGATGAAAATCAAAGACCAAGTCTCATGGACCGCGCTAGTTTCAGGGTACGCCCAGTTTGGTAAAGCCAAAGAAACAATTGAATTATTTGAAATGATGCTGGCAAAAGGAGTAAAGCCTGATGGAGTAACATTCATCGGTGTTCTGTCTGCTTGTAGTAGGGCCGGGCTAGTAGAAAAGGGAAAAAACTATTTCGATTCTATGATAAATGATCATAAGATTGTTCCTTTAGCTGATCATTATACTTGTATGATCGATGTTTTTGGGCGAGCTGGAAGATTACAAGAAGCCAAGGATTTTATAAATCAAATGCCTTGTAGCCCTGATGCAATCGGTTGGGCTACGCTCTTGAGTTCTTGTAGAGTTCATAATGATATAGATATTGGTAAATGGGCTGCTGAGTCTCTTCTTGAGCTTGAACCCGAGAATCCAGCGAGCTACGTATTGCTATCAAGTATGTATGCAGCTCGACAAAATTGGGATGAGGTAGCGAAATTGAGAAAGCGAATGAGAGAGAAGGGAGTAAGAAAGGAGCCAGGATGTAGTTGGATCAAGTACAAGAACAAAGTTCACATTTTCTCAGCAGATGATCAAACCCATCCTGATTCTGACAAGATTTATGCTGAACTAGAGAGACTCAGTGATAAGATGGAGGGATTAGGTTTATTCCTGCTTCCTCTGCTGTGCCATTGTGTAATGTTGTTTGGACAACTTCAAATCTGCCCAGACACTCCTTTATCAGTTGGTTAGCAGTCCAAGATCGATTGCTCTCACAAGATAGATTACTCAAAAGAAGAATTGTGAGGGAAAATGTTTGTTGCTGGTGCTCTGGTTCTGAGAGTAGGGATTATCTTTTCTTTGATTGTCACTACTCGAGGGATGTTTGGGGTATGGTTATGAATTGGTTACAATTCAAGTGGAGGTCTTGCTTTTGGAACCAAATCATAGAATGGTATTGCTTTCGTTTTGAGGGGTAATGGCTTCAAGCAACAGATTAAGAAAATGGCACTCACCTCTACAATCTATTACATTTGGTGTGAAAGGAATTCCAAAATTTTCAGATAGGAGGGTAAACCTGCTGCCCAGCTGTTCAAGGAGATAAAATTCAACATTTTAACTATCATCCTCAATGGCCACTTCTTAGCTGAAGATAAAGAATGGCTATGTTTGTTTGGGTCAAAAGTTGTTGTTTTCATTGCTATCGAATCTATTACAAATTTAGTCGTTACAATAAACTAGAATAAAATAAAAAGTTGATCTTTTTATAAGATCTCCTTACACAATAAAAATAAAAAAAGTTTACAACTTTATCAAACAAATACAAAGATCATTTATCGGTCTTCTGCTTGCGCGGGATCTTTGCCTGTGCCGGGGTTTATCCGTGGACCGCCTTTGATCTGGATCCGATTGATAGAAAATTCGGTAGAGCTTCGCCTTCACCGAGGTAGTGTTTGATTTGAAGCGTTGAGATCGACCAAGCGAAATCAGGACTCTTCTCGAGATTAAGACCAAGCCTAATCTCGAGGAATGGGGAAACGGGCTTCGGATCTCTCGAACTCTCCTTCTTTATGTCGAAGAACTCACCGAGATCTGTCAACCCTTGCTGAAATCCGTGCTCCTTTGACTCCTCAATCCGGCAACACCTCCTCGTCTTGAATAATTAATCCCCCCGAGAAATGAGCACGCGAACTCGTATTTATAAGCTTCGAAAGTGGTTATTTGGATGAGAATGAATGATTCGGTCTTATCTTCAGTTAATAACTGATTAACCATGTTAGGGGATGATATCAGATCAGTTTGGATGCTCAGGAACCAACAAATCCTAAGAAAAAACCATCAAAACCGAACCGGGGTCGAAACAGCGCGCGCATGACAGATCTGACTCGCGCTCACGCGGGTCGGTTTGATCCGTATCGCGCGGTGTGTTTTTGCCTTTGCTGATTTTCGTGTTTTCCGGTTCTTCCGGGACTTGTATTTTTCATCGTTTTGCATATTTGATCGTATTGTTGACTTGCACGCTTCGTTGCGAGATTGACTGTCGCGTGTTGATTCCGGCGCGGGTCAGATCCGTCCTGCGCGCTCTGTTTCGACTCCGGTTCGGTTTTGACGGTTTTTCCGGGATTTGTTGGTTCCTGAGCATCCAAACTGATCTGATATCATCCCCTAACATGGTTAATCAGTTATTAACTGAAGATAAGGACGAATCATTCATTCTCATCCAAATAATCGCTTTCGAAGCTTATAAATACGAGCTCGAGTGCTCATTTCTCGGGGCGATTGATTATCAAGACGAGGAGGTGCTGCCGGATTGTGGAGTCAAAGGAGCACGAATTTCAGTGAGGGTTGACAGATCTTGGTGAGTTCTTTGGCATAAAAAAGGAGAGTTCGAGAGGTCCGACACCCGTTCCTGTCCGTTCCTCGAGATTAGGCTTGGTCTTAATCTCGAGAAGAGCCACTGATTTCGCTTGGTCGATCTCAGCGCTTCAAATCAAATATTTCCTCGGTGAAGGCGAAGCTCTGCCGAATTTTCCATTAACCGGATCCAGATCGACGGTCGTCCACGGATAAACCCCGGCACAGGCAAAGATCCCACGTAAGCAGAAGACCGATAAACGATCTCTGTGTTTGTTTTGACGAGAGTTGTAATCTTTATTTTCATTGTGTAAAAGTCTTATAAAAAGACTATCTTTTTGTTTTCATTGTAACGACCGAAGTTATAATGAATACCGCAATGAATACACCAATTTTCACCGTAAACAATTAGCCCTTTTTCGGGGGCACTCTTCAAATACCTTAGAATCTGATACACTGCGTCCATATGACCCTTCCTTGGATCATGCATGTAGCGACTCACCACGCTCACTGCAAAAGAGATATCGGGACGTGTGTGACTCGGATAGATCAACCTACCCACCAGTCTTTGGTATCTATCACGATCAACTGGTTCTCCAGCTTCAGCACCCAGCTTAAACTTCTGGTCGATCGGTGTAGTTGCAGGTTTGCACCCTAACATTCCCGTCTCTTTGAGAAGATCCAGTGCATACTTTCTCTGGGATAGGACGATCCCCTCCGCTCCTCGAGCTATCTCTATTCCAACAAAGTATCGAAGCAAGTCAAGATCTTTCACCTCGAATTTCTTACCCAGTCTCACTTTGAGTTGGGCAATCTCCTTCTCATCATTCCCTGTAATAATCATATCATCTACATATACTGTAAGTATGGTGATGTGACCTCCACTTATTCGAAAGAACACGGTATGGTTGGCGTTGATCTGCTGGTACCCCATACTAATCATAGCCCTCCTGAATTTGTCAAACCAAGCACGAGGAGACTGCTTCAGCCCATAGAGAGACTTCTTCAATCTGCAAACATTTCCCACTGTCTGATCTGTACCGAATCCTGGTGGTATCTCCATGTATACCTCCTCCACTAGATCTCCATGAAGAAATGCATTCTTCACATCTAGTTGGTGTAGCTTCTATCTACCATTTACTGCCAGAGAGATTAAGGTCCGAACAGTGCTCATCTTTACCACCGGTACAAAAGTCTCATCATAATCGATGCTATATGTCTAACTATATCCTTTTGCCACCAGACGAGCCTTGTAGCGTTCAACTTGTCCATCTGGATTCTGCTTCACAGTGAAGACTCACTTACATCCAACTGCTCTCTTTCCTTCTGGTAGTTTTACTAGCTCCCAAGTACGGTTCTTCTCAAGAGCCCCTAGCTCCTCGTGCATAACCGCTTTCCACTTTGGATCCTTCTTAGCAACCTGCAAATTGTTAGGTACAGTAACAGAGTCCAATGATGCAATGAATGTCCCATGTGCAGGATGGATGTTAGAATATGATACAAATTGGGTAAGATCCCAACCATATCTATCAGGAGGATTTCCCGCATTACTACGAGTAGTCCTCCGTACTGATATTGGTGTGGGAGGAGTAGCGAGAGGAATGTTATCAGTAGGGAGAGGAATGTTATCACCTTGGGATGAAACTGGTGGTGGTGTAGGTGTCTCAGGAGTCGGGGCAGGTGTTGGCAAGAGACTTGACAGCACTAGTGGTATTGTAAGTACTGTTCCTGTAATTTACTTTTTCTTCCTACTATAGGTTAATAGCTCCCCCTGAACCGTGGGCCTAACACCTCTTGTCTCATTTTCCTTTTCTTCTTCATTCACCTGCTCCTTCTCAACCAATTCTCCCTCCTAAGGAACCGATACAGAAATAGATTTCTTCATATTGTTCACCGATCTCTCACCATTCTCCTCCTCTCGCCTCATACTTCTAGTATTGGGCCATTCTCCTCCTCTCGCCTCATACTTCTAGTATTGGGCGAGTTACCAACGGATGAAGTTACCTTCCGGGTGTAATATGGCTCCCTACCAACGGATGAAGTTACCTTCCGGGTGTAATATGGCTCGAGTTCTCGAAAGTGCACATCCATGCTCACAAACAACATTTTCTCCACCGGGCTCCAACAAACATATCCTTTCTGAGTAGCAGAATATCCCACAAAGATGCACTTCACAGCTCTAGGGGCAAGCTTCCCGACAGATGGCCTGTTGTCCTTCACAAAGCACACATAGCCAAACACTTTAAGTGGAAGAATCCCACCATTATCTTCCTTCAACGTCTCACACGGAGACTTCCAATCCAGTACTCTCGAGGGCATTCTGTTGATCAGCGTCGCTGCAGTCAATACTGCTTGCCCCCACAATGTTTCTGGGATATTCATAGAGATCATCATGCTTCTAGCAACCTCTAAAAGATGTCTGTTCTTCCTTTCCGCTACCCCATTCTGAGCTGGTATGTATGGACAGGTTGTCTGGTGATGTATTCCCTGAGCTGACAAATATTCTTCAAACGCTCTGTTGGTATACTATGTCCCATTATCCGACCTCAATACCTTCATCACTACTCCGTATTGAGTCTGAACATTCTTATGAAAGTTTTGGAAGCACCCAAACACTTCACTCTTATTCTTCATCAGGTATAACCAAGTAACACGAGAGAAACAATCAATAAATGTAACAAAATACTTGTATCCATTCATAGAACTTATGGAACAAGACCCCCAAACATCTGAATGTACCAAGTCAAATGCATGAGAACTTCTATGATCAGAACTAACATAAGAGCTTCTAGTAAGCTTTCCAAACTCACATGCATCACACACAAGTTCATGTTTATTTGCTTTCTCAAATAAAGAAGGATACAATCTACCTAAAACACTAAAGGATGAGTGTCCCAAACGCTGGTGATGAAGCATTAACTCACTCTCAACACTCATTTTTGATCCTACTCCTGCTTCCTCTACGACTGACACTAATGCTGAATCCAGCCATTCACGATCCAGATACCACAGTCCACTACGCCATGTGCCAGTCCTAAGTCTTCGCCCTATCCCCTTCTTCTGGAAAATCACCTTGGGAATATCAAAAGAAACAATGTATTTTAGTTGGAGGATGATAGAACTAATGGACAAAAGATTGACTGGAAAGGAAAGAGCATGCAAAACATTGGACAAAGTTACAGAACTAGTACAATCGACTGTATCCTTACCAACCACCGGCTGAAATGTACCATCAGCTGTTTGAATACTATCAGGCGATGCTAAGTGAGTATATGATGAGAACTCACTAGCATTACCTGTCACATGTCAAGACGCACCGGAGTCGACTATCCATTCTGATGATCTGTCGGGAGACATAAAAGCAAGAGCATGTATGTCATCAGTACCTTTGGTCGGATGAGCATAGGTAGCAGTGTTGCCTCTGGTGAAAAACAAAATGGATACCTCCTTAGTCCCACTCCTCAAGTCTCCATCCCCTGCTACTTGCTGCTTCCTCCTGAGTATCGCCAGGAGAGCACGATCCTCCTCAGTAAAGACCACCTCAGCCTCTTCTTCCTCTACTACCATCAGATTCACCCGGTTCCCTGCTCCTCATCTACCTCGTCGACCACCACGGTCACGATCACGACCTCCGAACTGTCCACGTCCATCCGAATCTCCTTCCTTGGGTGGCTTGGTGCAAGCATGCCTTAGATGACCCACCGCACCGTAGTTGTAGCACTGTCGAGTCTCTCCCCTAGATCCAGTGTTGCTAGAGGCTGGCCGTGCTGACTTCACCACAGGAAGTCCACCTGTCCCCACCTGCAGCCGAATGCGAGTCTCCTCCTGGATCATAGCAGAGACAGCCTCCTCAAACGTGGGAATCTTCGGATGAGCGAGTAGCAATGCAATTCGCTGAGCGAACTCTGATGTCAATCCCTTGAGGAATACCATAGTCCTCTCCTGTAGGAAGGCCTCCCGCTCTTTACATCCCGGGTTCTTACAGCTCGCCCGAGGTGAGAAGTGATCATAATCTAGCCACAGACGCTCCAGCTCTGTGGCATACTCCTGTACAGTCCGCTCTCCCTGGACTGTGACGTCGATTTCTCCCTTAATCTGGAACATCCGCAGGTTATTCCCTACTCCATCATAGGTCCTCCTCAACTTCTCCCAGACGTCATTCACCTTCTCAATGCCATCAACTGTGGCGGCGATCGACTGGACCAATGAGTTGAGGAGCCAAATATACACCAACATGTGAGTGGACTTCCACTCATCTCGTCCTTCCGAGTCCTCATCCGGCTCTGTCGCCTCTCTTGTCAGATAACCCTCCAGGTTCCTCCCTGCAAGGGTGTATCTCACCTGCCGTGACCAGCTCAGGTACGTACTAGGTCCATCCAGCTTCAGATCGATGGTCGGAAGCTCCAACTTCTTCGATGGTTTTGTCGCGCTCTCACCAGCCGACAACTTCATTAGCTTCATCAAAGTTGACACCTCCGCAGGGTTCAACTTCTTGATGATCTCCTCCATCGAACAAGCTTCAGACCCAACACCTGGTCACCTACTCTTCTGACCCTTGTTGTGTGCAGTGAAAATTTCGGCAGCACCTCTGCTGCACAACAAGAGTAGGATCGCAAACA